ACCCATGGCAATTTGTGGTTTCAGATGCGCTAACAGTCTGGGGAAAAGGCTGAGTCACTGTTTTAGTAAGAATATTACAATCTCAAAAGTCTACCATGACTGCAGCTTTAATTGTAGTGTACAAATTAGGGATGGGACTGCCGGTTTGCACAAACAAAACAGAAATGTTTTTGGAAATAATCTCTTTTTCTCTATTTTATTTGGTGCCAAGATCTTCTCCCACCCTTTTGTAAATAATTATTGAATGACTAACGTTCATGAAGCTTAGTTTACAGTGGAGATCAAAATTAAAAAACAACCTTTAAGACCACTGATCAAAACTGAGCAAGATCGCCAGATTCCTCCCATAAATTGGTGTTAATCTGCACCGTAATTCCGTTAATTATCTGACATACCCTATTTAACCGGCTGCCTAATTTTACCCACATTGTAAGCAGGTTGTCCAGATGAAGACCAAAGGGACGACCCTTTCAGCCATGAAAGACAAAAGCATGAGTGGACAGAATAATAGTGAGACTCTCAAAGGGCAATCAGCTCAACACTACAGCTGGAATTGCTCACAGTTCAGCACAAAACAGGGGAATAGAGACTAAATTTTGGATGCAGATGTGCTGAAAGCACTCAAATCGAGAAAACAGCCTGTTCACGTTGTTACTTATTTTTTGACATTTGTATCCTTCAAAAATGTTGTTGTGATTTTATTCGTGCTACAGTCATTGGTTCTCTCTAACTTTGATAGAGTTTTGTTGTCAAAATGCCTTGGTTATTTTGTAAAACACTTTTCTACTTGCATAATACAACCAAAGCTAAAATTGCATTAGAATTAGAACAATTTCTAGGAAACTTGTGTTCATAATTAGTTTTTAATCTCCACTATAACTATTGTTAATATTTAATCCTTTTCATTGAAACATAGATACAGTGCCCTTCAAAAGAAAAAAGGCATACCAAGGCAAATGCACTTTTTTTTTCAAAAGAGTTGACCTAAATTCAGTCAATCAGTTTTAAAGAATGCTGGAATGCATCGACCTTCCATAGTAGGAAACAAAAAATTATTATAAAAGTCAATGGGTCCTAGCAACCAGCAATTTCCAAAATATCTCCTTTTGTGTCCAAAAAAGAAACTCAAATAGATCAGTCCTCTTGAATAGGCTATCCCTTCAAATAAAGAACTTGCAATTATTATTGAAGAGTGAAAAGGAAGATTACATAATAATGTAAATATTTAATGGTAACAGTCCCACTGTGAGCCTGATTTCTGTATTAAGCTGCCATAGGTTTATTTTCTCTAGATTAAAGGTTGGCACACTTTCATAGCTTTACTGACTGATTTGAAGAATAAAGGCTGCGTCCAAAATCACATACTTCCATACTATATAGCACAATAAAAACAGTATGTGAGCTGAGTAGTATGTCTGAATCCATAATAATGGGGAAAAAAAGTATGCGAGAAGTACCTGGATGACCTACTGTACTACGTCCAGCAAGATTCTTAAGAGCACATCCGATGGACGCTACGCTATCCCATGATGCAGACAATTCATGAATGGGATTGAAGTGACGCAACTGACGCAGGTAGGTCATGTGATAATGGCTAATAACAGATGTGGTACATCAGAGTTTCACTACTCACAATCATACTTTATTGAATGTACTTTTCTAATGGTCATGTAGTACAGTAGTCCGCAGGCCCTGGGCCATGAAGCATGTCCATGGATCAATTGCTACCAGGCTGCAAAAAAAAATCACTAATTATTTCAGTTTTATTTAGAATATATTAGAGTATTATATTATATTAAAGTCTGAATGATCTTTTATTTTAAAAAGTTATTTATTTTGAAAAAATGACCGTATTCTCTTGACTACATCTTGGTCACTTGAGCGCCAAAATGTAACCCACAAGCTAGCAAAATGACTAAGAAACAGATGTCTTTAGAAAGTTTCTTTAGAAAGGGAAAAGGCCCAGTGAAGGACCTCCGAACTGTCAGGAAATGGATCCACAACTTATTTGTCAACAAGTCAGGTAAATCCAGCATGTTTTTGCAAGCAGATCAACTGCTGGAAATGGCAAATGACGGCAGCCTTGGGAACCATTCACACATCACATGTGAATGTTCACATTTGCACATTTTTGCACAAGTTTAATATTTCCAATGAAGGACCGTGGCTTGGAAGCGACGTGCTCATACCTTCCAGGTTGACCCAGTTAAAAAAATCTCAACTTTTTTTTTCAATTCTGCCAGCGCACCACAAGTTAAGTGACAAGAACTGACCAGTCAGCTTCATTTTTTGTATGGAAAAATCACATACTTCCATACTTTATAGCAGGGGTGGCCAACCCTGTTCCTGGAGAGCCACCTTTCTGCAGATTTCAGTTGCAACCCATATCAAACCAACCTGAACCAATTAATTATGACCTGAATACCACGTGATAATTAATGGCAGGTGTGTTTGATATGGGTTGCAACTGAAATCTGCAGGAAGGTGGCTCTCCAGGAACAGGGTTGGCCACCCCTGCTATAAAGTATGCTAAAAACAGTATCCGAGCCGAGTAATATGACTGAACTCATAGTACTGTAAAACAGTATGCGAGAATATACGCGGTTGACCTACTGTACTATTTCCGGTGAGATTCTGAAGTGCGCATCTGATGGACGCTACGCTATCTCACGATGCACTGTGAGAAAATGCATGAATGGGAGTGAAACGACACAACTGACACAGGAAGGTCTTGTGATAATGACAAAATAACAGATGTAGTACACGCAAGTTCCATTCATACCACTTACGTTCATGCTACATAGAACACATTTTTTTGTATGCCTGTGTAATACAGTGGTCCCCTCTGGGCCGGTACTGGTTCATGGATTATTTGATACCGGGCTGCAAAAGCATTCACTAATTATTTCAGTTTTATTTATTATATGAGTCTGAACGATCTTTATTTTGAAGTCTTCAATTTTGAAAAATGACCGTATTCTCTTGGCTACATCTCGGGCGGATGAGTGGTCAATATTTAACCCACAAACTAGAAAAATTACTAAGAAACAGACGTCTTTGGGAAGTTTCTTTAGGAAAGGGAGAAGGCTCAGTGAAGGACCTCCGAACTGCCAAGGAATGGATCTGCAACCCAATTGTCAACAAATCAGGTGAATCTAGTATGTCTGTGCAAGCAGATCCACTGCTAGAGATCACAAATGACGGCAGCTTTAGGGGCCATCCACACATCACGTTTTCACGGCCATTCACACTCGCGCATTTTTGTGCAAGTTTGTAATTTCCAATGGAGGCTCTCAAGCCACGCGCTCACGCCTTCCAGGTGCACCCAGTTGAAAACATCTCAACTTTTTAAAATTTTGCTAGAGCACCACAAGTCACATGATAAGAAATGACAGGTCAGCTTCATACTTTGTATGGAAAACACACATTTCTGTAGACTATATCAAACAAATAGAACAACCAAACGCTGCAGTGCTTTTTAATTTTCTGCATAAATAAAACTTATTTTTATTTGTATCGGAATTGCAGCAATGTCAGCTTGTCATCCTCTAAGAAAACGGTTGATAGTCGCCTAGCAAACTATGTACACACTAATCCCCTTTCACCCCCTGGGCCATGGTAAAATTGTCAAGCATCGACCAGTCTGCGGTGATAAAAAAGGTTAGGGACCACTGGTGTAGTAACTTCAAAATCAAATGTAGTATCTACTCGAAAAGTAGCCGGTTTTGGATGCAGCCCAAAAGAAGAGAAATTCAAAAACAGAGTATGTTCTGAGTTCATTAATAATTGATTTCCTAAACGTTAAATTCAAAGCCGTCAATCAAAATATATGCTGACTTTGTGCAAATCCCCACTTTGACCCAAGGTATTCCCAGACATTTGGAGGACACTGTACCCATAAGTGGAAACAAGAGAGTGGGGATGAGAGATTTACCTGATGTATGCTTGCTCATGAAGTGACAGTAGAGAATCAGGGCACAGTTTCTCTGGTTGTGGCTCTGCTCCTACTTAGAGATGCAGAAGATGATCTCTGCAGTTTGAGAACACCTCACGCTGTCTGTCATTTCACAGGGAGAAAAAATAAGATATAAGATTCTATCCGTGTCTTCACTGTCTTAGTGCCATTTCTCCAGTGTGTCTCAGGGGATTATTACTCTTTTCTTCCCACACTCTCCCCGCTTCCCTTCTGCAGTATGTTTTTTTTCTGTTTTGTGACAGATGCGCTCACTGTTTGGCTTTTTTTAGGGGCTTGATTCGCTATTCCTCTCCAGCTGTGAAGCCATTCTTCCTGTTGCCAGTAAATGTTGCTGAGTCTCACTTACCCCCCGATCGGCTTCTCCGTCTGTTTCTGTCCATCCCTCTCTAATTCCCCTATTACTCTTTCATTTTCTTATCCACTTGTCTGATTCACTTCTTCACCCCATCCTTCTTTGGTGTTGCGCTGACTGTGTCTCTTTCTCTGATACACTCTGTCTCATTTTGTCTTTCATTACCCTTGTTCTGCTCTTGCCTGGTATTCCTGCAAGGCCCTAATCTCTTCATCGGTCTACATCTCTGTCCACGTCAGGGGGGTATTCCATCTTTCACTCCTCCTGTATCTCTCCATTATCTGAACCACTCAAAGCCTTCAGCCATTCCCCAACTCTCCTATCTGTCCTTGAAACAAGCGCGTTTTTCATCTTTTGAGAGAAGCGTTTTTGATCGGGGTTCATACCAGCCACTTACCTCACGTCAGCCACTATTGTCAATATTTCTCTCTGTCTCTTTTGTTCTTTCCTTCCCTCCCTCTCCCTCTCTCTCTCTTCTCGCCTACCCGTAGATGATGAACGTTACCAAAATATATTATTTTGACATCTTAGAGAAGGTTTGCACTGTGCTAGATGTTAGATGTACAATGTCACACAAGTTTAAGTAACATCACTGGTCATTCCTCAGAGGTTCATGTCGGGTTATGAGGCGTTTGACACAGTTAAAAGGTCATTAATCTGTGTTTTCTCTTTTTTTTTAAGTTTAGTTTTTCATTCATTCCATAGCTGAACATTTTACCAAATAGCAAACCAACACCTTCATCATTTACAAACACCTATCGGTGAAGGTCTTTAGCATCCATTCAGCATCACAGTTCAGTTTGAGATGTCTCGGCGGCCTCCTAAATGTCCAGCCAAACAGAAGGGTTCTCAATCCAGACCCTAGGATCCTGCATTATTCCAATCAGTCTTGGAAAAAAAGCTCACTGTTTTAGGGAGATGAACAATTCCCATTTACAGTCAAACCCAAATGCGTACGTACTCCGACAAACCGCTCAGATGAAGTCCTTGGAAACTGCCTCCACAAAGTTTGGTGCGGACATCAGAATGGAGATGGTGCAGATGATGTTGAAAACGCTGAAAGCCACCAGACAAAGTCGGTCAATAACAGCTGCAGCAAACTTCCACTGTTCGGTCACGCTCTCATTCTCATCCTGTCCACGAAACCTGTCAGCGACATAGCGGACTTCTTCTAAAATAGCCTGAAGTTGGGGATCCCCTCCGCCGCTGGTTCCAGAGCAGGAGCAGCCTCCTCCACCACCGGACACTGTACTCGGACAACCCGTGGCCTCCAGATTGGGCGTAGGGGGTGGTGGAGGACTGCAGAACTGAGAGGGCAGGTGAGGTGGAGGACTGGAGCCGACCACCGGGGGGGACACTACTGTAGGACGAGGCCCACCCGACATGCTGTTCCTCTGCACAGAATCGGCAAGCAAGGCTGGCGGCGAAGCTTCATCCAGACTGGAGAATCCGATGTAGAGCAGGTTGCCATTGTTGTTGGCACTGTTAGTCTGGTTGTGGAGATGGTGTGTGTGGCCGGCGGCAGCAGCAGCTTGAAGGAGGCTCTGGGGGTGCAGAGGATGGAGTGTAGAGGAGATGTGGTGGTGGTGGAGGTCTGCAGAGGCAGAGCCGGGTGCGTTTGGGAGGCTGCCACTCTGGGAACCTGAAGAGCAACGGCGTAAGTGGGGGGCACAAGGAGGTCGCTCGGGGTCTTCGCTTTCACCAGGACGCTTCATACGCAAAAACCAGGCCACCCACTGGAGCAAGACTAGCTGAACCTAAGAAAAGGCAGATGAAGAGAATTGTAAGAGAATAATTAATGTAAATGTAGGAATATAAGCATTGGATTGAGATGGATGGATAGATTGGATTGGATGGATGGATAGATTGGATTGGATGGATGGATAGATTGGATTGGATGGATGGATGGATGGATGGATGGATGGATAGATGGATGGATGGATGGATTGGTGGATAGACGGATGGATAGATCGATAAATGGATTGGATAGATTGCTGAAAGGATGGATTTTTGATTTAGTAACATGCATTGCCAAGCACTTCATTAAGACAGCTTTAAAGGTGATTTTCTTAGCATTCTGATTTAATTGAACCCTTAGATTTCAGATTTTAAAATAGTTGGCTCCTGGCCAAATGTGCTAGTAACAAATCATACATCCCTGAAAAGCTAATTCGTTCAGCTTTCAGATGATGTAAAAATCTCAATTTTAAAAACTGATTCTTATGACCATTTTTGTAGTCCAGGTTCACATACAGTATTGTACATGCTCTGCACTTACTTTAAACAAAAAATTACACAGCACAGTCTGCACAACAAATAAAGCAAGTCTTTCTTCAAGCTCTGCCTAGTGTAGAGAAGGAAAGTTTTGGAAGCAAAGGAGTTGTAAAACAGCAACATATGACAGCAAGGACTATGATGCAGGGAGAGATAAAGAGGTGACAAGCTGGAATTACTGTGTTGCACTGCCTGAGTCCTAGCCAAGGAGAGACATAAAGCATGGCAAAATGTATAACTAGTGAGGTTGGCACTGCTATAATTCTAAAAAAAAAATGCAGTTTAAGCAACTAGGTAGTTCTTTGGCATCTAAAAACATATTTTGGTGTATTAAAAGCTTAATCAGTGCAAGCCAGTGTGTTTTGCCATCATGAACCAAGCGAATCACACAAACATTTCAGAATATTCACAGACATCCATCATTTTATTAGATGTAACCAAATGTTTAACTGCTAGTTAATGCAAATATCTAATCAGTAAATCACATGGCAGCAACTCAACACATTTAGACATAGAAGTGGTCAAGATGATCTGCTGAAGTTCAAACAGAGCATCAGAATGGAAAATAAATGTGATTTAAGTGACATTAAACATGGAATAGTTGATAGTGCCAGGAATGCTTGTCCAAGTGACCTAGTGGGCTCTTGCACACAAACATTAAAGAGTTTACAGGGAATTTTCTGAAAAACTAAGCTTAACAAGGGCTGCAAATTAGTCATTGGCTAGAAGCCTGTATGTAGAGAACCTGCTACTTTAAACTGTATCAGTGTTGTCCCTGCATTGTCCCTGTTAAATAAACTTACTAATACAGTAACTCATACTGTACAACTAGTTCTTATAACTAACCTGTTTTTCCACTGCATGGTACAGTGCGGTTTAGTACGGCTCGGCTGGCTTCAGTTTTGCTCGATTTGTATTTACACTACAGTTTAGTACCACTTCAATCTGTGGGATTATCTCTATACATGTAATTGCATGGCCTCTACACCTTTGAAATCATCGTAAATGTGACAAAAACCAACCTGCGACAAACCAACCCACAACAAAGAATGCTACCAACGAAATTGTATTCTTGAAAAAGGGCTGCTGCAGACTATTGAAATACAGTGGATTTTGGTGTCTTGTCTCGCAAATCTAATGTTGTTGGTAGCGATTTCAATGTTCAGCAGTGTGTATACATAACAGTATGGCTCACTTTGAACCTCATTTGAGGAGATATTTCCAAAGTACCAGGTACAAGGTGGAAAAGCCCCCAAAAATGAGCAACACCAAACTGAAACACACTGTACCATGCATTAAAAGCACCTTAAGGTCTGCAAATGAGCATCTCTGAACAAACCTTGAAAAAGATGAGCTACAACAGCAAAAAGACCACTCAAGTGACACTCCTGATGACAAAGAGCATGACTAAGAGCATTTACTTCTTCCGCTTATCCGGGGCCTGGTCGAGGGGGTAGCAGTCTCAGAAGAGAACCCCTGACTTTCCTCTCAGATACTTCCTCCAGCTTCTCCGGAGGGATCCCGAGGTGTACCCAGGCCAGCCGAGAGACATAGTCCCTCCAGCGTGTCCCGGGTCTTCCCCGAGGCCTTTTCTCATTGGGACACGCCTGGAACACCTCCCTAGGTAGGCATCCAGGAGGCATCCGAAACAGATGCCAGAGCTACCGCAAGTGGTTTCTTTCGATGCGGAGGAGCAGCGGCTCTACTCACTTTACCAGTGTGCTAGTTAGTTTTAGTTTTCTTCGTTGGAATATTTGGATGGTAAGTTCAGAGCTCGGCATAGAAAACATGAAAAGCATGTATCCATCCTGCCTTTTATCAATGTTTCAGGCTGCTGGCATAGGTGCAATGGGCAGATTTTCTTTCAAATCAACAGCATATGCATAGTGCTATCACGTCAATATTGAGCAAAATCTCTAAAGATTGTTCCCAGCATCATGTAGAATCTGTGCCAACCAGGTATTAGCACCTAATAAAGTGGCCAAAAAGTATATAATAACACAACAGGCATTACTAAAACACTCTAGACAGATGTGAATATGTTTCTTTCATAGCTTCTTCCATACATTCAAGTCCAAACTCCCTTAAGGGTCTGACAAACATCACAACATCACATCATCAGAACAACCTACCTTACTCCTCCTTAGTCTAAACTGTATATCTTTCACTTCTGGAGATCATAAGATAAAAATCATTGCTGTTATGTAAGCATTACTTTCTCCTAGTTGCTCGGAGAAAGAGGATTTTTATTGAGCTACTTTGAGTCGTGGTTCTGGGAAGACATGTTTCAATGACTGCACGTGTCAAACATGATTGCAAAAAGCTGATCCCATGACAGGACATTGTTCTTGAGAAAGGGCTGCTGCGGACAATTGCGGACAATGTCTTTTTTCGCAAATCCAATGTTGACGGTAGTGCTTTCATTGATCAGCAGTGTGTATACGTCATGGTTTGGTAACAGTAACACTCATGTTGAGCCTCATCTGATGTGAAATGCGAATGTTTCTTTGATAACAGGGTTGACAGACATCACAATGTCTTTCCCTGATCAGCATCTACCCTTACCTTTCCCTTCTTCGTCTGAACTGTATCTCTTTCACTTCTCCAGATCATAAGATAAATACCATTGCTGGTATATAAGCATTACTTTCTCCTGGTTCCTCGGAGAAAGAGGATTTTTATTGAGCTACTTTGAGTCCTGGTTCTGTGAAGACATGTTTCAGTGACTGCACGTGTCAACCGTGGATGCAAAAAGCTGATCCCAGGACAGGACATTGTGCTAAGGCAAGCACATCCCTATTATAATAGCTCATGCCTTGCATAAAGGATTAAATAAACCTCCAACTTTCAGTAATAATCCTCAAATCATGTGGCTAAGATGTACTATTACTTTCCTAAGCAATGAGCCATACAATTTCTGTCTGGTGGCAGAAAATCCATTGAAGATCCACTAAATGAGTTTTTTTTTATTCAATAGCAACCACTTTGGGGGCCCTATGATGTTTTTATATCCTTTTTGGAAAGAAATAGCAATGACACATTCAAATGATAACTTTCCATCTTAAAAAGAGTCCTGAAAATAATATATATATATATATATATATATATATATATATATATATATATATATATATATATATATATATATATATATATACATTTCCACAAAAACATGAAGCAGTACAACTGTTTTTAATCTTGATAAACGTCAGAATCATTTCTTGAGCATCAAATCAGCTTGTAAGAATAATTTATGATTCACAAAATGTACAGTAAAAATGCTTGTAAATTCAGCTTTGCATCACAGGAATAAATTACATTTTAAAATTGAGCTGCGGGATATTGGAATAATCTGACAGTGCTTTCTTTTTTTCTGTACTGTATTTTGCAATATGAATACAATTTCACCAGATGGCTTCAATAGCTCTATTTGGAAATAAGTCATTCAGTTTAGATTCTGTTGGAGACTGAATCATGCATAAAATATAATAAACAAACCACAATCATAGAAAAAGGCAACAGACCAAGACAAAAGTGAAAAAAAACAATGCTTTGCAGATTTCTGAGGAATTTGTTCTTGTTTAGGTACAGAAATTGAACAATCAAATTTAAATTAACATTGCATAGTCTAATGAATCACAAAAAAAATCAATAGAAATAAAGTTACAAATACATGAAATGTTCAAACAGCCACAGGCCTTAAAAACGCAAATGATAAACTTTCACTCTGTTGTGGTTCAATTCAGTTCAGGTTTTCCATGTATTATTTTATTTTTCCCTGTTTATTTTTGCTTTTGATTTGCATTATGGGACATTGGTCTTTATTCCAACAACTTTAACCTTGAAAAGGTTAAAAAAAGTGCCTTTATTAAAATTTTTAATAGTTTAAAGCAATATATTGTCTGGCTTGGTGTGGTATATTATGGTACAAAGACCTTCTAATAAACTGTCAGTACATTTTCTGCTATTTTACAGCCTTATTTCTCTCTAAATATATTATTTTCAATACATTACATTAATCCAAACAGTTAAATAGTCAATAAAAGTCACTTTGTTAAATTGTGAAGTTGAATTTTCAACATCAAAAGTGGACAGAGCAGAGATCCCGATCCCATAATGCAATTCACAAACGGAACAAAATACGAAAAATGTTAATTAACAGATCATTTTTACACTGTGGTCGACAATAATCCTGACTATTTGTGACTACTGATCAATGCTAAAACAATATATTGTGCTGCCTTATTTTAAATTATACAACAATTTTTATTTAATACATTTTTAGTTTTTAATCAAATAAACTCTTGTAGAACACAAAATACTCTCTAAAACATCTAACTGTCACCTAACTCTAACTGTTTGTCAATTACTGTAATTTAGTCAATTGAGACCGCTCTCATTTTCCAAACAGTAAAACACAAATCCATCTGCGACAGAATTGATTCACTCTTTGAGTAAATACACCTGTCAGCTTCCTCTTGCTGTTGCATTTGGCTTTGCGAGTGAATAGGCTTCGATCAGCGGTACCAGGGCACATCAGCTGAGCTGCTAATTGGCTTGCAGAATGCCTAAATATGGTCATTCATCAGCGCGGACAGATCGCAGATCCATATCCATCTGCATCCTATTTACTCATTTAGTCGCCTTCTGTTGGCTTTATCTCTATCATCATCGAATAAGTAAATTACTGCTTTCGGCGCACCTGTCAAGGGCGACATTGCTGCTTATTTAGCGCACGTTTGTTTGTAGGGTTGCAAACCAAATGTCAAATTCAATGACTTTTGCCTGACTTTTACTGACTAAAAGGCTGAATTTCAATGACCTATAATGAACAGGAATTTCTCCAGAATTTTGTGATGCTGTGATGCTGAATTAAACGCTAAATCAAGCAAATGGCACAAAATTAAAAGCCGCTTCAGGCCTGTAGCCAGCCTGGTGAAAGCGGTGGTTCTTTTTTCTCAAAAAGTGGACCTTTCTGCAGTTATTTGCCTCATTTTATATGTAATCATGCGATTTAAATACTGCATTTTAATTACATTATTTTTAGCTATTCTTAGATTGTCGAATGGTTATGGCAGAATCTAAAATTTGTGATATATTATATCTCGTTTTTTATTTGTTTTGCATTTATAATTTTAGTTATTCATTTAGTCATCTATGTATTTAATTAACTTTTTTTGTTCATTTATGTTTAATATTTATCGTAATAATCATTTATTGATTTGATTTCTTTATTTTATATATTTCTTATTACTTGTTCTGCTTTTAGTGCTTTTTTCCATTGTTTAGTCTTATTTTGATGGTGTTCATGAAATGTTCCTCTCCAATTATATGAGATATGAGGGTATGTCTCTATTTCAAGGTCTTGTGGCCTGATGTATAATAACATTTGTTATATTTGTGCTGCTCAGACAAAGTATGAGAGCGCACCGAAACACATGGAACTAAGGTTTTTGAATAAACCCTGCTCTTTTACTATCATCACTTCATCTCCTGCTTTTGCTCTTCTCTGACGTCCTTCCACAGTCGTCTCCTATATCAATGGTAGACTGTTAATTCAGTTGAAGACTGGTTAACAGGTTTGGGTATTGGAAACTCTGCTGACTTGTTGTCCAAATACCTGGAGAAACTAACGTTTCTTGACAATATCTGGCATTCGGGGCTGGATTTTATTTATCTGGCGTGGAGAGTGTGATCTAAAAGTCATCAAAGTCACATTTTTAGTGAAGCAAATGTATTCCTAGAGATTTAGAATAAAGATTTTAAAATAAAAAATACTTATTTATTGATTACAAACTTATTACATCATTTGTCATTCGAAAAAAATAGAAATCTGGAAGTTTTTAATTAAAAAGTGTAGCCTATTTATTAGGCAAATAACAAACTGGCCAGTACATTTAACTTCACTCAATCAGAATATGGCCCTTTGAATAATAAAAGATTAAAACCTAATAATAATAATAATAATAATAATAATAATAATAATAATAATAATAATGCAAAGTTTGATGATTTTTTTTGCCTCTTTTGTAAAATTTACATTTGAAAGTTCATTGATAACAGCCAGCAATTGCCAAATTAGTATTCAAATTCATTTTAACATGTGCCGTTTGTGGTGCTTTACACCTTTTTGTTGGTCATTTTGTGTTTCAAGAATCAGGTTTTATTCTTCAAGATTTCGATTAAAAGTGACTTGTACAGCGTTTTTTCTATTAAACAATAATCCAGTAGGTCAGTAGTGAAAGACGACTTCACCTGCGTCAGATTGTATGTTTTCTTGCACGGCTGGATGTCGGACTGAAGCGAGGATTCCTGATCGGTCTTAAAAACCTTTTCAACATTTGTTGAATTTAATACTAGTAATATTCAAATGCAGTCTCTGAAATATTGATCAAAAGTGCATTATATGTAATAGTTCTAGTGCAAGATTAAAATGTAAGATTTTTAAAGGGCACCTATAATGAAAATCATCTTTTGTAAGCTGTTTGGACAGAACTGTATATCGGTATAGTGTTAGTCATATTGGGGTGATATAAACACATTAAGTCTCTTTTTTTAAATTCTTCTTATGTTAAAACAGTATGCCAATCCCTTCCATTTTGAGGCCCACCGCAACGTGACATAGGAGTGAGGTTTCCCCGCCCACCAAATTGATTGACAGCCGGGTATTAACATGTGTCCGTAGTAACGCGTATAATCCAATCAACAAGCCAGGACGTGCGCAACGCAACTGGGATTAAAAGATCTGTTCAGCTTTCTGTGATCATCTGCACCTCAAGAATAAGTTTTACAAGTTTAAAATGTTTTTAAAACAGTGGCACGTTTGTAATAAAATAAAGACAGTAAAATCAAAGTATTTCATTACCGCAGCCGTATGTCAGTAACATTACAAAAGCCTTAAATTAGGTTTATTTTGTACATTAACAAAACAAATATCCTTACAGCAGTAGATATTAATGTGTATCCTGTCATATATCTCATGCAAAAACAGCGCAAAGTTAAACACACGTGCTGTGTGTGTGCGTGAACTTTGTAACAACATTGTGTGTGACTCATCGTCGCAGAAAGGCTTGAATTAACTCCACAACAAATACGTCAAATAATCATTGGGAAAGTTTTTACTGTAGTATTTCTCATAAACATTACGCAAGATCTGCTTCCTTCATGTCTGTCACTATGATGTTTATCGGATGCAGCAGGAGATAGTTCTGACAGGCACGTGGGAATGGTGGGCGGGGCAAACCAGCTCATTTGCATTAAAGGCACAGGTATAATATATAATATGATGGGTATTTTGAGCTGACACTTTACATTCTGACACATTCTGGAGGCACAAAAGACTCATTTTAAATCTTGAAAAAGGGGTAAAATAGGTGCCCTTTAAAATAAAAAAATTCTCAATTTCTCCATTCAGTCTCTAAAAGCAGAATCATACATTTGTAGAAATACACCACAACCTTTCAATTCAAGGGCTTTCAAAAACCTTAGTTTGTTTTTTAAGTACTTTCCAGGCCCTGAAATCATGTCTGAAATTCAACAAAAAAATTGACTTTCAATGTCCGCCTAAAAATAGTTTAAAACTCAATGATATTGCAGAAATTCCCTAACCCATCGGAACCCTGTGTTTACAAAAATATACGTACCCATTTTGGCATGTTCCCTCCGTTGGGGTCATGATGGTGATATTGAAGCACAACCACTGTGGCAATAACCGACATTCCCACGATGATCATGATACTGGCGAAATACTGCCCTGAAAGAGAGACAAAGAGAGAAAAAGAGGAGAATATGGCATGCGTAAACCTTTCGTTTATTAGTCTCCAAGCGGAAGGGCTTTTCATCATCCGGCCACACCAGTAAAATCCAGGGCAAACGTAACAAAAAAAAAGACGGGGGGCATTGATTATAAGCGAGTGACGCAGGGAAGAAAGAGAGAATGAAGAACAGATGAGTGAACCATAAAATCTCAATCATAAAGGAGAGGGCGAAGCAGACAGGAGAGACAAAGCGCTGTGGGTGAACACTCTTCCAGCAAACGCATTTCTGCAGATTACATCTTTGCGGCGGCTTCTGAGGGCCTATAAACTAGAGGATGGGAAAAGAGAATGTGGGGCAGATTGTTTTTGTTTTTTTGTTTTCTAGAGGAAGATCATCTCTGTGTGTGGGTTAGAATCATTTTCATTTTTCTCTCCCGTTGCTTCTCTCTCCTGACCTGCCCATCATTTCCAGTTAACAGTCTTTTACGATTCATGTTGCAAATTACTATGAGAAGCCAAGCGTATGGTTGCCAAGACCGAGGGCTTTTGGCCTTGAGACAGAACGGTGATCAATTTATTCCTCAGTGGTGCAGCATCTAAGCGCCACGCAAAAAAAATACACATGAATGCACCAAAAGGAGGACAATTAGAAGCAAAATACTAAACTTGAAGTACAACCCCAAATCAGAAAAAGTTGGGACAGTATGGAAAGCGCAAAAAAAGCAGCGACTTCAAAATGTATTCCTTGTATTTCATTGCAGACAATATGAACATTAAATATTTCATGTTTTGTCTGGTCGACTTCATTTCATATTTAAAATACATCCTTCCTGTCATTCAGACAATACATTGCCCAAAAAATAAGGACAGAAGCAGTTCAGGGCTACTAATTAGGTAAATTGGTTAAATAATGATGTGATTTGAAGCAGGTAATGTCAACAGTTGATTGTAATTATGGTACAAAAGCACCATCCAATAAAGGTCTATTCCTTTAGGAGCAAAGATGGCCTGAGGATTACCAGTTTGGCACCAAATACGTAAGAAAATTATTGAAATGTTTAAAAACAATGTTCCTTAATGAAGGATTGGAAAGATTGGATATTTCACCTTCAACAGTGCATAACATATTTAAAAGATTCAAGGAATGTGGAGGATTTTTAGTGCATAAAGGACAAAGATGGGAGTCTAAGCTGAACTACCACGATTTCTACTTGCATTTCCATACTGTCCCAAGATTTTGTGATCTTCACAGAGAGCTGTGTTTTTATTAGCGAGTGAAGCAGGCTGAAACATACGTATATGTGCATTGAAATATGTTGAAACATGCATGCTTTACCTATTAGCGGGATGGAGTCTGAGGTTGCTGGCATGATCTCTGCCACCAATAGCATGAAGACTGTTAATGAGAGCAGCACAGTGATGCCTGTATGGAACAAAAAGAAATCATGAGCTGTTCACAAATGACGAGACATTTGTGATTGATGTGAATTGATTGATATCTGGCCATTTTAATATCTAAGACTATTACAATAATGTACACAAAAACTACTTTCTGCTCTTTGTTTTTTTGTTTTTGCATGCAGACAACAAAAGCATACTGTAAAACAATTCAGGAAATTAGCGTTTTTTCCCGTATATTGTAAGTCAAGTTTTTTTATTTATTTATATATGCTTTTGTATGCATTATGGGACCTTGATCTTTCTTTCAAAAACTTTTACCTTGAAAGTTCGAAAAAGTGACTTTTGTTTTTAATAGTTTAAAATGAAATATTTACAGGGTTGGTGTTGTTTATTTCAGTAAAAAAAAAAACTTGTAATAAACTGACAATTTCTGTTAATTCTATATATTATTTCTTATACCTTGTTGTTTCAAACTCTTGTTGTTAAAAATGTCAATAAATGTCACTTTGTAGATTGTAGATTTGTAGATTTGAATTTTCAACATCAAATGCCGACAGAGCAGAGGTCTCATACTGCAATTCACAACCGTAAATAAATGGAAAACAAAGTTGATTACAAAATATGAAAACTGTTAATTAACATATATATTGTTCCAAACCCATAAAACTTTTCTTTATCTTCAGAACACAGCTGAAGATATTTTTAAGAGATTTGGTTGTTGTTGTTGTTGTTGTTGCAACCCAAGCTCTTTATTAATACATACCCCAATATACATTTCTGGAGATGACAAAATACATCCCAGGATCTGTTCTTTTGCCGTTTTGTTTTCGTGAATCCACCAGAGACCACTGTGTACACTTTTTCAGATCTCAAATTTCTCTCGCAAGCACCGATCAGGCCTGCTTTTCTTGTGTAAATCCACCAGAGGTCACTGTCAACTGACTCACTGACTGACTGACCGATCGATCCCCCAACCCACCCGCTTTGCTAAACCCAACTGATAGTGTTTTCAAATGCACTGATAGACCCGGCCACCGGCTTTCCTAAACTCAAAAGACAGTGTTTTCAAAAGCAATCCAGAAAAAGAAAAGCCCTCGCGGCCGCCAGATCTTTATCACGTTCTCAAATCTTACCACGTTCTCACCCTGTTATTTACTAGCTTATTTTATTTTTTGCCTTTTGTTTTTGTTTTACTTGCTTTCTGGAACCGTTCTTCTCCAGACTCGAACCCCATCGTTGCAGTCAACTCCTCTCTGTTTCTTAAATTCGTCAACGTACTCGGCAAGTCACTAGACAAACTGGAAACTAGGACTGAACGATATATCAAAAAAAGATTGCGATCTCGATTCGACCCTAAACATGATCTTTATTCAGCTTTTCTATGATTTAGCCAAATTTTTTTTAAGGTCAGGAGAGAAGCCCATTGGCGGTCGCACAAGTCTTCACATTTTATATTCGTTGCTCAGCAACATGTACACCTCCAAATGGTGTTGAAAGTGTCGCATGCTGTATTTGTAAGGTATAATTCACTCAAAATTGTCATTTATGTCTTCATGTAATGATGTATTCATGGCTGTAAAATCACACATGAGCTGACGCACTGTTTGTTTACTACTAAGAGGACATGTGCGTGCCCGCCAATAATGTCTACTTTAGTGAACAGAACCTGCATAGGCTGTGATTAACAAGTAATACAGTTGTAAATAACGTTCAGTTTGTTGCACAGAGCGATCATTTGGGAGCCGCACTGAAAGTATGATTTGCAAGTATGTTTTTCTTTTTTCAAAGAGGCAGCCCTACTGGTAACAGCAGAAATGCCGTCAACACAGAGATAAGCGGTCAGCTGGTAGCGCAAAAAGAAACAGAATCCATTGGCGACATCATACTGCCCCATTTTAAAGATGAAATGCAGCCAAACATGGCTCTGCCTACATCATTTGCACTCTCCAGAAATGTACACGGGAGTACATTTTCACAATGAGTCTGTGTTGGAGATTTCTGCCCTGCCACTGAAAGCCTTTTCAATCCAAAATGTCAAAGAAATCCAATAAATATTTAAAAATAAATCTATATGGATCAAGTTCTTTAATTCAAGACTTCATAGACATGTGAGCGCTTATGATGAACAGATTTAATTTGGTCTTCTTTTCTTAGCAAACCTCACTGCACTTGAAGAATTACATCCATATAATATTAGAAAAAACACTGGCAGCACATTGCCCATTTAAATCTACCCGGACAACCAGGAAATATATTGCTTCAAACATTTCAATAAAAGTCATTTTGTTAAACTGCAGAGCTACATTTTTGACATCAAAAGTCGACAAAGCAGATGTTGAGCCCCTATAATGCACGCCTAAACAAACTAAAAACTAATGCTTGAGAAAATAGATGGCCAAATTTAATGCTGTAAATATTGATCAATGTTTATAAGTGAACAACATCCCAAATTAAACCAGATGAACTCATTTACATTTAGTTTTTACTCATTTACAAAGGTTTAAAAATTTTAGATTAACAAATGGCCACACTTGGGTATCAAAAATATCCCAAATTTGATTAAAAATATCTTCATTTGTAATCAAAAAATTAACAACAGGTTTGGAACAACATGAGTGTGTTTAAATGAGAACAATTTTCTGTAACACTTTCAGTTTAGGTCACAATTCAACCCAGGCTCATTCTTGAAACATACCCCTATATACATTTCTAGAAAGCGCCAAATACGTCTTGGGAGCTACATTTTACATTTTTGCAGTTTTTGATTTCGCAAATCCACCAGAGGCTGCTGTCGATTGACTGACTGAATTATCGATTGACTGACCCATCCTTCTCCTTTCCTAAACCCTACCAATAGTGTTTACCAAAGCACTGATTGGCACGCGCACGCACTTCCCTAAAGCCAGCCGTCAAAGTTTTAAAAAGCAATCTAGAAAAAGAAAAGCCCTTGCCTGATTTTACCACGTTTTGAGATTTTACCTCATTCTCACCCTGTTTTTGTACTTGTTTATTTTATTTTTAGCTTCTGTTTTTGTTTTACCTGCTTTCTGGAACCGTTCTTCACCGAACTCAAACCCCGTCCTTGTGGTCAAGTCCTCAATTCCACCGATTTACAAGGCGAGCTACTGGGCAAACTGGTAACAGCGTAGCGTTCGTTTTAAAGACGAAACACAGCCATACGTACTTCTGGCTACATAATTTGCAATCTCCAGAAATGTATATAAAGCTACATTTTCAGAATGAGCCTATATTGCAACAGTTCATTCTATTGGCTACTGGCTTATTACCTAATCCTACCCAATACCTAAACCCAACTACTACCTAAATAACTATTAATTTTAGCTAATTAGTAGTTTATTAAGCTAGTTAAATGTTTGTTAATAATGTGAATTGTGTCCTAAACTAAAAAGTGCTACTCAGTTTTCAAAATCACAACCCAGCAGCACAGACCCCAGCATCCGCCACTGCGAAAACCCATTATCCGTCAAGCACTAATATAAACACATGGTTATACAGCATCACCAGTAATGTGTGACACTGGCGATACATAAGATGCCCAAACACGGCGTCCTATTGGATGTAACTCATCTTGACAGAATTTGATTGGATCTGATTGGACGGCAGTGCAGGGCTTGATGGAGCGATACATAAAGTGAATTACATCAGGCCATTTCTCTTCCTCAATCGCTCTTTAGTTCAGTTCAAGTCATCTCTCCCTCCCTCTCCGGCTGCTATCCATCTCTCCCTCCGCACACACAATCCATCCATCTCTATCTGCTGCTTAAATCTGCTTCCGCTCTCTCACTCCACCTCCCTTCCTCTCACATATGTTTTTGTTGGACCCATTTATAAGTGCTATCCTGGCATAATGATAACACTCAATAAAATTATTGTCACAAATACTCAGCTAAATGAGACTAACTGAATTCATCAAACTGGATTCATTTAAAGTGCACACACTTGGTTTAATCCACGCCAGGGGTGTTCAAACTTGGTCCTGGAGGGCCAGTGTCCTGCAAGGTTTAGTTCCAGTTCCAATCAGAAACACCTGGGCTAGCAACTAAGCTTTCTAGAAACATCCTAGGAGGTAATCGTTAAATCTGGTAGATTAATTTTGTGATATTCTGATTAATAAACTAGAGCTATAAGTTTTAATCACTCACTAAGAACGTGTATTTTAGTGGTAGGGAGACTTTTTGAGTGAGTCATTGAATGATTCAACCAATTTAAAAACAATGACTGATTCAAAAAAGTCTTAATTGACTGGCTGCGTTCCATTCTGAAGGGTTCAACTTTGTATTTGAAGGGATGAAGCATGTGGGGGAGCAGAAAAAAAACTTTTCCTTGGAACAGATTTCTGTCAAATTAGCAATGCTAAAGAATCATGGGAGCCCGAAGAAGCTGGTCATTTATACATTTCAAAATACTCCATCTGAAAGGTGCTTTAAAGTTGAGAGTTTTGAGCACTTTGTACTTGGAATGAGATTTCAATACTATGGCCATAATCATTCTCACTCCAAAGTGACCAAACAATGACTACATTTATATATACATCAGTAATAAAATTATAGCTCATAATTCGATAAACGTCATTCACGTGAGTTTCGTGTACTTTCTGGTGTTCATTCATTCATTCATTCATTCATTTTCTTGTCGGCTTAGTCCCTTTATTAATCCGGGGTCGGCATAGCGTAATGAACCGCCAACTTATCCAGCAAGTTTTTTTTTTTTACACAGAGGATGCCCTTCCAGCCACAACCCATCTCTGGGAAACATCCACACACACATTCACACACATACTCATACACTACGGACTATTTAGCCTTCCCAATTCACCTGTACCGCATGTCTTTGGACTGTGGGGGAAACCGGAGCACCCAGAGGAAACCCACGCGAACGCAGGGAGAACATGCAAACTCCACACAGAAACGCCAACTGAGCCGAGGCTCGAACCAGCGATACAGCGACCTTCTTGCTGTAAGGCGACAGCACTACCAACTGCGCCACTGCTTCGCCCCTAATTTCGGGTGTTTTAATTTGTCGTTTTTGCCCCCGTGACAAAAGAGATATTGGATGTGAGTATGGACTGCTGGAGGAAAGCTTTTTTTTCTATGGAATTTAATACCGCAGGCCGTATAGGGTAAAAACCTCCGCATTTCGCAATGCAGGTGTCTGTGGTCCTTCACTGACTCGGTCGGTGCAGAGAATAGTGTCAAACAGACTATCCTGTGGTAAAATGCGGCAAAGGAAATAGTTTGATTAAGGTGTTTACATGACTGTACTGCACTGCAATAATGCCAATAAAATTGCCATCTACACATATCTTAATTCGATTTAAGTTTAGTTCGATTATGACTTTAGTCTGATTTGAGTCATCAAAAACCGCTGTTTACATGGTAGACTCTTAATCAGAGTATTGTCTTTATCGTATTAAAATATTATTGGTGTCCATGTAAATGTACTCAATGAATCATTTACTTGACTCATAGAAAACACTTATTTATTTAGGGGGGAGAGTGATTGCACATTGATGACTGAGTCGAGCCTGAGATTATTGATGTTTTTGTTGGGTAAGTAATAAAAAATTACTGGCAAAATCATTCCCACGATGTAGGTAGCTCAACATTTCATTACTGTTAATTAAACTGGTGGAAAAAAAAAAAAAAATATATATATATATATATACAATTGAATAATTTCTTTATTAATTCATCCATAATTTTCCTGAAATAAATTATTTTATAATAAAGAAGCAACATTAGAAAATTTTCTTTCTTGGATAATAACCATTAATGTTAATCTTATAAACCCCCCCACAAAAAAAACTTTTAAATGTAATATATCTTTTTTTGTTTGGTTACTTTGTAAAGATTATTATTATTATTAATATTATCATCATGATTATTATTATTATTATTATTATGCAATGTAATGTTATGTATATTTATATAACGCATTTATTGTGTATACACCCAAAGAGCTTCACAATTATGAGCGGGGTCTTTTCACACCACTACCAGTTTGCAGCATCCACTTGGATGATGCGAAGGCAGCCACAGGACAACAGTGCCAGTGCACTCACCACACTCCAGATATTGGTGGAGTGGAAAGACAGTGATAGAGCCAATTCAGCGGATGGGGATGACTGGGAGACCATGATCGGTAAGGGCTGATGGAGGGAATTTGGCCAGGACACCTGGGTTACATCGCTACTCTTTACGAGAAGTGCCATGGAATTTTTAATGACCACAGAAAGTCAGGACCTCGGTTTAACGTCTCATCCACAAGACAGTTTAGTGTCCACTGACAATTTAGTGTCCTCTACACTATACTGGGGCATTAGGACTCCTGCTGGACTCACTAACACCACTTGCACTATTTTTATGTATTTATTTATTTATTTATTTATTTACTAATATATTATTATTATTATTATTATTATTATTATTATTATTATTATTATTATTATTGGTCCATTAGCCGACAGAATAAAAGCATCAAATAAAAGAATAAAGCAGCAAAGTCATCAAAAGAGTGTTATCAAAAGTATTGACTTTGTTACCAATCAATATTGATATATTATTTTTAAATGTCCATATACTATTAACAGTTGAGCGCAGTTGAGTAGGTTCTGAAACACTGCTGATTGGCCACCATTGTGTAATTGGAAATACATAATCATCACTTAAACACAATGGCCAATCAGCTCATTTTAAAAGAAAATGTGCATTTTTCAAATTTCGGTACCAATTAGTACCAAAGTCGGTACTTTTCACAAACCTACTACAAAATGTTTATTTATGTTCCACAGAACAATCGGTCAAACGTTTCTGAAATTACTGAGTAAATAATTTATACGAATCCTATACCCATTTAATATTTGCTTCTTAGAAACACATAACTGTAATGCGTTCTGATTCTGTGTCTGTCAGAGATGTTTCAATATTGCATGCCTGGTTCCTGGAAAGTGCGATGCATTTTCTCTCCTCTCTTACACACATTGACTCATCCCTCCTTTAATTACATCAATAGATTAATTGCCCATATGAGTGTACAGCAAAGCACTTCCCTTTACCACGCTTGCAGTGATACGCATTCTTGACCTGAGGGAAAATTGCCTCAATTCCTATCTCTAGCCTCTGACTTCTAGCATCTCCTTTACTAAAACAAACCACGAATACCCTTCAGTTCATGCCCCTTTACATTTGCTGACAGTCCTATTTACAATTCCTTCCCTTCCATCTCTGGTGACTGTTTTCGCTGTTCTTTGAACTGTCTGCCTGTTTGATGCTAAAGGTCTCTTGACAGGAAGCGTAAAAAAAATGTGAATCACAGCCCTTGATGTAAACCAAGAGTTCATTTGACGTGACACAATCAGGCGATTGCTTCAACATGAGCACCCACACATTTTCTGTCCTGCCTAGACATTTGGCAGAGATGCGGAATTATTGTATCTCCTACACTAAAACTAAGATATGCCAGATATGCAAAAAATATGCAACATTCTTCCAAATCAATCATGCTTTGCTATAAAACATGCACATATACAGTGGGGGGAATAAGTATTGGACATGTCAAGTTATTTTCCTGGGAATAATATTTCTAAAGAAGCTTAAAGACGCCTCTCATATGGAGAATGAAGTCACATGAATTGCTCAGGTGTGAGATTTTTCACAGACTTCAACAGAATGTGAAAATGTTGATGGTTCTGTGAGTCTCGTCTAACAAATCTGATCTTTATTTTGTATTTTCTATTGGATTCGAGTCAGGCGATTTGCCGGGCTATTCCACAGCTTGATTTTCTTTCTCTGAAAGCATTTGAGAGTTTGCTCGGCTGTGTTTTAAATCATTGTCTTGCTGAAATGTTTACCCTGGTTTCATCTTCATCATCATGATAATGTAGATGTTGCACTGAAGTAGCTAGAATCAATTTACAATGGCGAAGGGCAAAGGGTTGCTAAACTACTGAGAGATTTCAGCTGCTGTCTGGGCCTTTACTGCCTTTCAGCACCTCCCTTTCTTCGTGTGTTCAATACTTTTTTCTTGTGTTCTTTAATTTTGTTACGCATATCATATTGTAAACAAATTAGTTTTACTTTATTTGCATACACGGATTTCTTTGATTGTTACCAACATCTAGTGAAAACTGCAAGCCAACAGCACCTTCAGAAATATGTTTTCTGAGAAAAATGGTGACATATTCAATACTTATTTCCCCCGCTGTAATCTAACACAAGCTGTTTCTCGTTCTTTCTTAATACCTAGTGAGATCTTCTCCCCGGAGTCTGCAGGCAGGAGGAAGATGAGCAAGGTCATGGATGAAAGGAGGACGCAGGGAATGAGCAGATTCAAGGCGTAGTAGAGCGTTCGCCTGCGGATGGTCACCACGAACGTCACGTCTGGATAGGGCTCCTTACAGCAGTCGTAGAACAGCTCATTTCTGGTGCCCGGCACACCTGATTAGACACAGCATGCGAGAGGAATAATGAGTATGTCTTATGAGCGCGTGCTTGTTTTTACTGGAGATTGGTCTCATGTTCAAAGAGACGCTGTTGTCCTCAAGAGCAGCCCGATACTGCTTTTCCACCTTTGATCTACTAGGAGAAAAACATCCTAATCAGCAGATGCCAGACAGACAAAAGTTCTTCTTCGAGCAACATATTTATTGTCTTAAAGGATTAGTGCAACCAAAAAAATTGTTTCTAATTTGTGAATGCTGAACTCAAATTTTAGTGGCTACCAAATGAGCATTCCAGATTACTTCTTAGATAATCTCTGACTTGAAGTATGACGCATTTGTAGCGAAAGCTCTGAGAATAGATGCATCTCATGGGAACCACTTACCACAGAAGTTGACTACAAACAAGAAATCTAGTTGGCTTGGCAATGCTGTATAAGTTTAAACAGTACATTACTCTTACTCCTCTGCTTTGAATGTGCATCTTATTACATGTGTCTATATGTTGAGTTCAACCCAGGCTCATTATGGATACGTAGCCCTGTATAGATTTCTAGAGAGCGTGAAATACATCCCAGGATGCACATTTTTTGAGGTTTTTGTTTTCGTGAATCCACCAGAGGCCACTGTGTGCGCTTTTTCAGATCTTAAATTTCTATTGTGAGTGCCATTCACGCCTGCTCTTCTCATGTAAATCCACTAGAGGTCGCTGTCAACTGACTGACCAACTGATCCCCCTTGTCCTAAACCCAGCCGACAGTGTTTTCAAAAGAAATCCCTAGCTCTGGCTAATTATTTCCACATTTTCAAATCTTACCACATATACTTACCATGTTTTTCACCACGTTTTCACCCTGTTAGCTGTCGGTGATGACATACCACCCTGTAGAGTTCTGTTTAAGGTCAAAATGCAGCCATACATACCTCTGGCTACATAATTCGCGCTCTCCAGAAATAAAATAAAAAATGCTAATAATAATATGATAATTTCGAGATATATAGTCCCTAATAATAACTCCTGTATAGAAGTCCCACAAAATTGACACGCGATGGCACTCGAATACCCTGTCAGAAAAGTCTAGTGGCTGGGAATGAGCTTTTTTACACTCTGTTTCAAGGGCCAAGTGGAAGGGGTACAAAAATAGAATTAGGATTGAGCCTATGAGTTTTTATGAATATAATTAATATAAAATAATGAATATTTAAATTCTGTGAAGTTAAGACAATGGCAATTTCAACATCAAGCATGTATGACGAATGATCATAAAAAAATATTAAAGAAAAGTTCAGAAGTGTGTGCGGCATGATATTACAGACGTGCGCAGCGAGACAGAAGCAAAAACACTGACTCGCTCGCATAAAAGAAGCTAATCAGAAAAGGGTCAGAAAGGGACAGAAATGTGCAGTGCACAATGATTTTCCAGTCCACTTCCTCTTATCCACTCAACGTAATTACATTAATTTGAATACTAACAGGCTCATCGCATGGCCTATGAATGAATACGAATGGGCTGGAGATGGGCTTGATTTTTTTTTTTTTCCAAATCCAAAGCGTATTTTAATTCTACATAGCAGGTTATTCTATGCTCTGTGAGCTGCAAAAGTGATCTCTGTCCTATGAAAGCTATGCAGCGTGAATTTTAACCATTTCACGTAACCGAACTGACCTCTCAATGCCCAGCCATTGTCAGTTACTACAGCAACACACAGCGAATATCATCATCTAACTGTAGGCGTTTCATACAGGAGATGTCTGTTACACTCACCCACAAGGTCCCATTCTCCATTGGGCATGTAGCCAGAGATATCGGCCTCATTCATCTGGAGGTCCAGCAGCCATCCGTCAAACGTCCATGAGCCGAATTTGAGCTCGCACTTCTGGATGTCGAACGGAAACCAGCGCACGTCCACGTTACAGGTGCTCATGAAGATCCCTGGGATGAAAAGAAGAAACGAAACTGGAGGAAAAAATATTTGCACTTTTCATTCTGACCCAGAGTCAGCATTCAAACTGCCTGACGGATGTACTGCCTCTGAAATGCCACACTTCTTCTTCATCAAGCCCTGCACTGAACCAGCCAACTCCAAATTGAATCCAATTGACCTTTTCGCTGGAGTAAAACCAGACAGTTAAAAAGATGCACACCGAGAAACGCCGGAGCCCCGGGAAACACTATTACATAAAGACCTTTACGCTCTGTGCGGATAACTGAAACTCTCATTATTATTACGCACACACACATACAGAGGCGCCGGCTAGATGAATCATATCAGTATCCAAATACACTCGCTCAAGTTTAAACACTGCAAATTGGCCACATAAACTGGTTTATTGTTTCAAACAGCTTGCAAATAAGCCATTTTGCTCAGTGAAAACGAGAGTTATGACAGGTATGGATGAGAATGGTAATGCGTGCAATTTGTTTCATTCCACACAGCGGTCAGAGTCGCCGCCTCAAAGAGCATTTTAATCGTATACTTGCATATTTATTGAAGAAATCACAGTGGAGAGAAGCGAATGGAGGAAACTGTACGTTGCCTTTGAATACTTTTTACAGTCTGCCCTGTTTGAGAGCTTCTCAAACGGCAAACATAGTTAAAATCATAAGGAACGAATCACAGATGTGCATTTATGCTTCAATGATAGTTAAAGAACAACTGACAAACCACAAACTAGCCGGTGAATTTTTCATTTGCATTTGCTTTTTTCATTTTATGGAGTTAAAGAAAAATTTTCTAATTTTGGTATCAGCATCAAATTTCATTTAAAAATAGTATTTTTATATACAAAGAAAGCATAAAAAAATACAAATTAGAGCAAATAAAGTTTGTCGACAATACAATAGGTTGGCTTGAGAAAGACTAGCCTGAAAATTTCAAGTCTGCATGAACCGGAAGTTGCTGAGGCTTTTATTTCAGTAGTGTTGATGTACTTACAACTGAAACTGCATATTAGGTAGGGGGCGGGGCTTTCTTTGGCGCATAATTCCATCATAGCAATCTTAACCGTAAGAAAGTGGATCAATATGCAGTTGCTATGAAATCCCTCAAGTTGATGTCAACAGAAATACAGCCACAAACGTGAAAGCAAATGTTAAGATTACCACAGCAAACACATTTTTTTCAGTGGATTAACTTGCACGGATTTTTATTCGTGTTAGGAAGAACAATGTGAGCTGGAAAAATAAACATAGTAAGTTTTGATTTCAAGCAAACTTTAATAAGCTTAAAGTTTGATGGTTTTAAATTCAAAATAGTTTTAATTTTGAAGCAGGTTTGTACGTTTAAGCAACCATACAAGAAGTTTTAAAAGATCAACATTTGTTCTGGGTGGTAGCTTGGGGATTGTAATGCGGGTGCCTAGGTGATTTGGGTGGTTGCTATTAAAGTGAAATATGAGTGTTCTGTCATCATTTACTCATCCACCACTTGTTCCAAGCCAGATTGAGTTTTTTGTTAAGTTGAACACTCTGGGCTATATTTTAATGATCTAGACACAAAGTCTAAAGTGTATCCTTTTGTTCAACAGGATAAAAAACAAAATTTGTCCACAAAATAGGCATTAAATTGTTTATTTAATACTTGGAAGACATAATGATGAAAATAAAATCTCTAATTGAACATAAAATAATTGTTTAATCAGCAAAACTGTCCTTCAATGCAATTGTCCAGACTTCAATTCAACTGCTACATTTTAAATGAAGAAAAAACATGTACAACACCATTTAAAAGGACTGTGCTTTATTTTTATCTTAACTACTGACATAGCCTGAATAGTTTGTTCGAGGTCACTCAGTGCAACAGAAAGCCTGAGAAATTCTATAAGAGTTTATATAAGAAACTGCTTCATGAGTCATTTGCCAGCCTGTGACATCAGAAGGAACCCTCAAGACTGAAAGGTGAGTTTAATGCTCTTAAATATTTCATAATTTCATCTTTTCACAGTTTGGCAACCTATATTAGAAAAAATGTGTCATCCATCAAAATCCCCCAAATACTATATCCTCTGATTAGCTTTATGGGTCAAATTAAGCAGATGAATGAGCTAAAGTTTTGTCATTCAGAATTATGCTAATTTATTTATTTTATTTATTTATACAGGGACAATGTACAACATGACATGTTGTGCCAGAGTTAGCTATAAAGCTAATTTACATCTGTAGTCCCTGGGCAGGAAATAACAAATTTAACAGTAATAACCAATACAATATACACTTACAGTACAATAAATACAATACATCATTATCATTCAAATGAAATCAAATCAGTGGCTGTATATTTGATTTTGTTTTAGCCAAATTTTAAGAACAGTTTTAAAATGATTAAAAGTGCTGCTCTCTCTGATATACACTGGTATTTTATTCCATCTTTCTGCTGCTTTAACTGAAAAAACTGATTGTCCAAAAGCAGTTCTCTTAAGTTTAACTGAACAATCACCTCTAACAGATGACCTAGTCTGTCTTATATTGCCCTTGCCGACAATCACACATTGTTTGAGGGGTGGTGGTGCAAGATCATGAAATATTTTATACATTAAACACACATCAGCTTAAAATAAGAAACTGTCGAATGTTAGTAATTTTTGTTGTGCAATACAGTTGCAATGATGATAGCTCCTTGGCTTTTTAGCTAAAATTTTAACAGTTTGTTTATATAAAACATACAATGGTTTTAATGTTGTAATGTTCGTATGCGACCAGCTTGTAGCACAATAAGATAAATGAGGTAAAATCATTGTATTCATAAAAAGTTTAGCAGCAGCCATAGGTAACTGATGCCTAATGTTTCTATAGATCCTCAGGCTTGCTCTAGCACTTTTGGAAATCTTCTTAATGTGTTTTTTAAAATTTAAATTAGAGTCAATAATTATACCTAAATATTTAAAATTATCAACAATATTTTTTACTTCTCCATTAACTAAAACTAAAATTCTTACAGGGTCGCTACTTATTAAAATATGTAAAATAGTATGTGTTCATACTAAACTGAATTATGCTTAAAGGTGCTGTATGTAAGTTTTTGACTCTTCTAAAGTATAAAAATACCATAATTTGTTTGTAGTTATTTAGGAAACATGCTAAGGGAACATTCTTGTTTATCTGAAAAACAAAGCTGAGGTCAGATATTCTGCTTTGAAAATGTGCGTTACGTGCCGAACCGGCTGTCTTTCTTTTGGTTCCTTTAACCTACCCAATGCCAGTTTAGCCAATTATACTTCAGCACACCCCAAACATTCAGTCAGTTTGATTCATTGAATCCGGTGGACAGTAGCAGACTCTGAAATGAGACACAGATTCAGAGTTCCACATGAGATTATTATTTAGCAAATAATATAAATATTTTGAAAGTAAACATTAGGTGAGCAGGTTACATTGTAACCCCGTGTCCTAACAATATGCTATGTGCTGAGATTTGCAGTGATAAGCAATTTGCACAATACGAAACACGACAGAATTTTAAATAAAGAAGCGCAGAATAGTGCACTTACTGCACTCCAAGGAAATGGTTAGGTTTATAATCTAATTATTACATATTAAACCTCTTTAACATTATTAAATGTACATGCTAAATCACTGATAATTGTTGGCTTGCACTAAGTCACAGTTCTAAAAGATAGATTTTAGAAGATCTCAGGTGAACTATCTGCTGCTGTTTTCAGTAGTATGACAATAAATGTCATGTGAAATGACAAAACTCACATTATTAGCATTTAACACTGAATAAAGCACATGAGGTGTACCTGAGGTGATGACTGTCAATTTTCTGTTGTCCAGCTGCAAAAATAGAAGCAGTTTCTAAAATATAAATTTCGGGTGTTTATAAGGACAAAAAACTGCTTTTAATAAGGAAAATATACCTTCTATCAGCTGCCATTGCTTTTATTTAGACCACGATTTAAATCAGCCTTTGTTGGTGTCATCAATCTGGCAACCTGCTCCTGTTTGTCTTGAACCGGATGTGCAATACCTAATTCAACCACTGGGTATCAAACTTACATACTGCATCTTTAAAAGGGTTTTCACTTCCTTAAAAAACAAATACGAACAAATGGATAAAACCAAGTGTTCTTAAAGAAAAAGTGTGAAGATTTCAAATGAAAACTGTATTTTGGACTGAACTGTGATGAGTCTTTTAATATGTCATCAAATGATTCTTGCTCTAATGAGGTTTTTCATTATATAAATTAATATTACACTGAATAACATTTTAGTTCTGTAAATCATGACAAAAATGTATAATTGTCATACTTTTTGATATATATAAATAAATAAATAAACAAACAAAACATTCTAAAAGAAACGAAATGTAATGTATAAGTATTCAATTTAAGTATTAAACTAGTTTTCAAGCTTAAAAAAGTATTTTATTCTTTAATGCTTGGAAATTTTAAAGTTTAGAAAATGGACAGTCTACCCATAATGATTAAAAATGTAAAAGATTTTCAAAAAGAAACAAGAAATGCTGTTCATTCCCTAGATTACACTGTAAAATAAGTTTCTAAACTAAGAGAGAGTGCTATTTTTCGGGTCATAATATTCTGCTGTACTGACCCCATCCCAAAATCCTCTTCAGACTGATCTACACTGCCACAGAAGGTTCCTGAATAATTCACCTCAGCGCTGGGCCTCTGAAACGAGACACAAGTTCCCCCCTTTAATCTGTGGTCCAGATGAAGACCATCAAGTCTTCAGAAAATGCTCCCAGTTTGGGATTCAGAAAATAAAATGAACCACTTTGAAAATGCCTGGCCTAATCTTACCACAACATTCACTTCTGACCAAAAATAAGGGGCATATTTATATTTGTTTATTCTATGCTTGTGTTTAGCCCATAGAGTTAAAAGATAACTCAAAATGTTAAGAAAAGCAACAATAATTTTATCTTCTGTAAGCAACATTTTACAAATACATTCAGAGCCTAAAACCAACAGTGT